TTTGGCTTGTTTTGTCCAGGGACGACGAGTCCAGGAATCACAAACTTCTTCTTGTATCGTGTATCCGGAGAACGATCAAAGACGATCCAAATTGAGATCCAGCAGTCAGACTGCTTGTTCTTGTAGAGTTGGGCACCGTGGACAGACGTCATCAAAATAATGTCATCGTTCCTGCCTTGTACAGCCTAACTATAGCCATCTCCATCGAAGAAATCGCTGTACGAGTCGAGACTGCCACACCGTTCCAATTCCTCGAATATATTCTGTGCTTTTCTGTCACGGTAGTACACCTCCTGAGCATTCTGTGAATTCCGGGTACAGTGCCTGTAATTAGGGCACAAGGGTGGAGGGGGGGGGGAGTGGGAAACTGCATGCGAGGTTTTTTGTACGTCCAGAGGTCTTTTCTAGCAGCGCTTGATCATAGCGAAACCAACCACACTCTGGACAGTGTTCCAGGTGCGAAAACGGAACTGTATAGCCGATACAAGAGTTGGGACGCATGTCATGCATGGCAGAGTAGACGCCTGTGATATCTTCAGCAATTTTCTTCGTTTGATAGAGTGTCAGGAACTCCGCAGGATCAATATTATTTCCTTTGATATACGAAAGCCGTGTGTGGTCAAAATCAGAGTCCGAATGCTTGAGATGCATGTAGTTTTCGAGAGCAGCCCTGACATGGGGATCATCGATCGTCGCAGTGTATTGTGGTGGGTTGCGAAGGCGTCCAATAGTCTCACTATCAAGTCCCGAGGCATGATCTTCTAACGAGGCAGCTTGTAGTCCTGCAATGAAGACGAGAGAATGCCTGAGGTTGTCCAGCAAAAAACTCACACGTACATTCACTTTGCGAAGTCTATCAGTAAACCCATGTGTGTGTTGAACGAACAAATTCATTGAACTTACCTTGGAGCAGTCCCGATCCTCGTTCAAGTTCAGAGAAAATTTGTACCTTCAGCCTCAAATCTGGCAGTACAATTCTACGGAAGTGAGTTTCCAAGAAAGAGAGAGTTCTAGAGGCATGTGATGTTGCAGTGAGAGGGATGCGCTGGAGGATATAAGTCTTTGAGGTTCACATTGGCGAGAACATTCGTGCGGAAAAGAAACAGACTTGATTCAAACTAACTGGCGAACGGATGTACTACGTGTGTACAAGGTCGTTTCGGTGAGGAAAAGACGACAAGGATTTCGGGCTAGGGCACGCAGCGCCTACCGGCCTCGAAGGGTCTCTAGCCTAAGGGAAACAGTTGAGCTGCGAGGGAAGTTGTGCCGCCTCGCTGTGATTTGACTAATTTGCCCCTTCAGGGCACAATGGTAGAAAACAGGTCTCTCTCTGAGTGTTAGCGAGGTGTTCGTTTGTGCTTCTGCGCAACGAAATCAGGGAGGAGGATGGGGAAAAGAAAAGCTAAGTCGACGAAGTGCGCGATGAGGATGGTCGACGCAGCAGAGGAAGAAGAGGTGTGAACGTTACACTAGCTGTTCGATCAAAAACTCTGTATTTCCTCCGTTCATGCCTTGCTACGTTGGAAAGATGCGATAGAGGTGCGAGAGGGGTGCGAGAGGAGGCAGTGGAGGTCCAGGAGGATGCAACAGAGGTCCAAGAGGTCACGATGGAGGTCTGTGAAATTGTGACGGAGGTCCGAGAGGATGTGACAGATATGCGAGATCGGTGTGAGAGGATGTGATGGAGGTGTGAGATGGTGCAAAAGGTGCAAGAGGGGTGCAAGAGGATGTGATGGAGGTGCGAGAGGATTAAACATCTATTAGTGTTGTGTGGCATTTAGAGGATATGAAACGTACGTGTATAAATTGGGAGACAAACTAACCCCAATGGCAAAACCGGCACTGACGAGTGACATCACGATACCAGTTAGTGTACTAAGAACTTGAGAGTGATGTGGTCACGTTACACGTACTCAGAGCAGAACTAGCAAAACGAACCTGCAAAACTACCGAGCTTAACCAAGAAAAGCAATGTGTTAAATAATGCTCATGTTAGTGAAGGCGGTATGCACCAAGAAATCGAATGAGTTCTTACCTATAGTCGTAATGTGAAACAACATTAACAGTGTTGGCGCAAGACATGGCAAGTCTTGCCATACCTCGTTCAGGGTGTCGTTAATCATTCATTCTTCAGGTACCGTTCCGTACCTATATTTGGTGGAATAGCCGTAGCCAAATGATACCAAACACCACAGCGGGCGAAAAAACAAGTGATCAAGCTTTGAGCCCTCGCTCGGGAAACACCCTCAACAGGTTGATTCGCAGGCTATAACACGCACTGAACTTCTCGGACAAAAAAATAAGCAGCCAACACTATGACGCCAAATACAACATCCAAGAAAAGGAAGGATCGGGTACTTTCTGTGATGTCCACTAGTAAACCAACTCTTCCGGCGCCTCCAGTGCGACTCCGGAAGCCTATGGCGTCATTTTCCATTCCAATAATCCGTGCAGAGCTAGTCATGGATGAATCCCTGATAAACCTTGGAACTCAGATCACCTACTGCGCTCCGGAAGAAGTTGTTGCCTTTGATTTCGATACACGGAGGAAGCACACAACCTGCCGCGTACCAGTGATGGAGGGCGGGAGGCTTAGAGGGTATGTACCCCTGCCCATGAGGTATCGGGACATTTGGCTCGAGCTTTCGTATAATATCGTGCTGATGATGAATATTTGGGAACTTTGGTCGAAGGAAGAGGGAAAGGCTTTGAGGCCGAAGGAGAAAAAGATGGCCACTGCTTGCCGGCAGAACGTTGGGACAGTGGTCGTTCAATACATGCTTTCCAGGCTTCTTGCGGTTGAGGAGTTGGTCAGCTTGAGTCATAACACCGAACCTGGCGAGGAGCGCGTAAAGATTCTCAACGAATGGAAGGTCCGGATGCTTCGAGATTGGTTCGATATGACACACTCAGAGGCCATGTCTAATGGACCTGAATTCATGCGTGCAGATCCAGCAAGCATTGAAAATAAAGCATTTTTCGGTGTGTCCATCCCATCGGCCGTTCGTCTAACATCGCCTGATCTGAATAGAAAGTGATTGGGAGATAGAGGAGGATGGGATTAACATCCTATCGCCCCCGGCAGACCCCAATCTCTGGATTCATGGGCGTATCGAAGGTCTGGACGATGTCTTTGAAAGAACTATTAAACCTCAGGCATTAGAAGAGTTACAAAAGCCCAGCCAATTTTTCAAGACTCGGTACAAGAAAGGGACGAAGTTACCCGAACGATGGCACGAGGGAAATGAGCCCCGTCCATTCTTCTGGAGCATTAAACAGTGGAATTGGTTCTGTGAAGGTGACGTCAATCCGGACGGTCGTTTGCAGTTACAAATAACTTTTTCAATTACTACAGGGAATGACTATTGGGACGCGCCAATCGACCTTTTGCATTACGTTCTTATCACAGAGCCAGCGTACCACGAAGTCGACCAGTTCTTGGGTGACTTGCGCAGCCTCAGCAAAATCATTTCTGAGAATCCTAACTTAGAGAATATCGATGGGGCTGCAAGAGATCTCTGGCTCGGAAAGATAATTTGGAGAGAGTTTGTAGAGATCTTGGGAAAATGTTTGAGTCTATCTGCGAGACAGATGGTCACTTCGGAAAAAAAGGGTATGTTTTTCAGAACATTTACTCCGATGCCTCACATTAATCTCACGCCAGATCATCAAAATCCTTTCAACACCTTAGAGTTCCGTTTGATTTTTGAAGGTTATGTGCAACGAGATAAGACGAACTCGGAGGGTCAGCGAGCTGACGACAGTATCTTGTGGAAAAGCCTGGATCAAATCAGCACACAAGAGCATCGGCCGGTATTGGAATGGGTCTTAAGCGGGATACACTTGCGTGGCGACACGGTAAAGTGCATGTTGAATCAAGCGGGGGATTGGTGGCGAGAATTCAGAAACAAGCAAGGTGAGGGCGTTAAAATGATCGCTGAACGCCTTCACTCATTTCCTATTCCCAGTGAAATCTTCCCAGGTGGAAACGCATACCACAGAGCATGATAATGGCGATGGTAATGTTGCTTGTGCTGACCGATCGTACAATAACGCAGCGCAATCTTGTGAGTAGATGCCTTGCCCTCGTCAGGACAGGTTTGGAAACAGAATGTCTGAATCTTTCGTTACAGCTAACTCCACAAACTCAACACGCTCACATGTGCAGCTCCATCCTCCCATCACAAACCGCGTTTCCTATCCAAATGCCCTTGATAGTTCGACCGAATCCAACTCATGTCCTCTTCAGAACAGCCCTCCCCCCTCCTTTCGCACTCACGAGTCAACACTAGGGGGATGTCAACCGCTGGCGCTGCCGATTCTCTCTCGCATCCATTTTGGGTTATCGAGGTATCTTGAAGGGTCTTACTCATTAAAAACCTACGAAGAATACCTGGTGGAGTCCTTCTCCTCAGAATTTGAGTCCAGCATTAGGCAGTATGTGAAGGAGCTCCAGCCTTTCACTGCGGAACAACTTGCAACAGATGAGGGAACGCTGATATCTGATTCCTTCATCAGTCGTGTTAACGCAATACAGGCAAATATAGAAGCTAGAGAGTCGCAGAACCAACTCCTTTGATGCTTCACTGCATGAGGTTATTTCTGACTGCTTGTATCGTAGAATTGCACAGGATTTCAAACCATATACACAAAGAAGTTGCGGTGGGATAACTTGACGTTCTATGCTACTTTATCATTTTATATCATTTTGTATACATTGCGTTGTATACATATACACCGTTGCATTGCACAACCACATCTCAGGATCCCACACATCGTCGCATGGACACATCGCGATCGCATCAATACAGTACACTATGGTAACGTCGTATCAACTTAGTAGTAGTAGATATGCCACTCATCCAAACTCTACTCGAAAAGTTCCCTTGAAGCAACTATGAGTCGATCCTCCTCCAAGATCTTCATGTGGACACACTGGTGCGCATCAAAATCTGTGACCTTTCTCCCTTACTGGTTTCTGTAAGCACGTTTCCATCTTGCGTTTGTTGCCTCGGTGAGGTGTATTGACGATTCTGCATTTAGACCTTCTTACAGTTATTGCCTTCGACACCTCTTGCTTCTTACTTCTTGACCACTCAAACCATCCTCTCGTCCGTTCACCGGTACAATTAGCTAATGATCCGGTCTCTCGTATTTCCTTTGGATCATCTCAGCTATTCACCTCAGTAATGTTCTCGAACTTAATGAGGTGCGCAATGTCTCTCACTTGCAATCTACCTATACTGATGTAAACTAGTGTGCTTCCGCTAGTCTTTCTAGGGTCTATTTTACATGTTAGATGTATGCAAGTTCCAGTTCCAAGCAACTCGATGACGCTCCCCGATACATATGTTTCTGCCGCAAGTACAATCAAGGCTAGTCTCACATGGTCTCGGGCACGACATGGCGCAGGCACTCAGAAGAAGCCAACACCGAAGATGAAAGAGAAAGGATGCGCACAGGTCGAGCACTCAATGGGCACAGTATACCCGCTTTTTCAGTTCCACCTGCAGAGAGCAGCGCGCTAGTTCTACCTCCAAGTGCTCGTCGCTTGGATGCAATCCGTGGCCTCGCTAAACGAGCGCGAGAAAATTGTCGCGCAAAGTTGGACGCCGTAAACGAGCCAAACAGACTGAACCCAGTATGGCCCAGGTACGTGTTCAGCACTATTATAGGACGATGAACATAATGACTATGACTATCATAATGACGACGTTCCCGCTCCCAACGACGTTCCCGCTCCCAACAAACCTCCTGCTCTCAACCGCCCTCCTGCTCCCAACGAGCTTTCTGCTCCCAACGAACCTCCTGCTGATAATAAATTCGGATTGATATTAGGCCTAGAATCAGGCCCAGGATCGATATCGACCAGCTCACCCAGAGTGCGGTACTGCCGAAAATACAGGACACCATGGTATTTGTGAACCTACTCCGAAATGCCTCGCTCAAAGATTCAATTGCAAAACTGAGTGACGATGTCCTGGATAGACTGCATAACCCGCACCGAGAACCTGGTATGATCGAAAGCACGGAGTTCCACAGAGTATATCCATGTATCTTGCCCTTGAACACTCTTCTCAAGATGCCTACAACCGAATATGTAGAGCTACAACACGCAACTTTGAGAGTGCAGAAGGAATCGATGAAATGCTCAGTTTTTATGCTATCGAGAAGTTCATCGCAAAATACACAGGAGTCGAGTCTGTAGAGCATGACATGAGTCTGCAATCGTGTCTCGCATTCATCAGTCCATACTCCAATGACAGCACTTGTTCATTATGCGGAATGTCTTGATGGGATCAAGCAAAGATGCAGGTGAGCGGTGGGCGGGTCAAGGTAGCTGCACAAAAAGTTCGTCACTATACCAATTGGTCCGCAACTTCAAGCAATATATCGTGACTCAGAGAGTGCACGCAATATGCTTTATCTTCACGAGCGCACCCAAGACATCTTTGCAGAGTTAGAGCGCACAGGAACGATCCCCATTATAGACGGCATTGCCACGAGATATGATTACCTTGACATGGCTCTGGATGGGCACCTCGAAGAAAATGATGTAGTCCTCATGGTGTCGCTCGATGGAGCCCAGTTATACGAGAGCAAGCAATCCGACTGTTGGATGTACATTTGGGTTATCGTCAATCTAGCCCCAAACAAGCGCTATCACAAAATCCATGTCCGTCCAGGCGGATTCATACCAGGGCTTAATAAGCCCAAAAGCTTGACTTATTTCTTGCCGTCGGCATGCACCATCTCGCAGCACTCCAAAACGAAGGTCTTGCAATTTGAGATGCATCTCGCGATGCTCGTTTCATATCCGATATCCACCTCCTTTACACCACAGCTGATGGCCCTGGACTCGTATATTGCGACGGTATGTTGGGACATAGTGGTAAGAACGGGTGTCGATTATACTGTGTTGTGAGGGGCAGACGAAAAACTCACGGAAGTCATTATTATACTGCTCTCCTTAAAACACAACGGTGTGCTCCCGGTAGTGGACATCCTGATATTCAGGTGTTCAAGATTCCGCCTGGAGGATCAGACGAATACGCTGAAAACTTACATCTGCTTGTAGCATCTCCGAACCAGCGCCAGTTGGACAAAAATAAGATCGACACTGGCATCACAAAGCCCCCACTACTTCTTGGCCTCAAAACTTCCCACTGTCTCGGAGTTCCTCATTGTATGACATCGGACATCATGCATGTTGCCGGGAATCTTAGTGATCTCAACATCAGTCTCTGGCGCGGAACAATGGACTGCGGCCCATCAGATGACGTGGATAGCTGGTATTGGGCTGTTCTTAAAGACCGAGATGCCTGGGAAGCTCATGGCGGACTAATTGAGGAAGCAGGACCATATCTCCCTGGATCCTTCGATCGCAAGTCACGCAACATTGCCGAGAAGCTTAATACAAGCTACAAAACCTGGGAATTTCAGTTGTATACATTTGGTCTCGGTCCTGCCCTACTTTACGGTGTCATTTTACAGCTTTATTGGCTAAATTACTGCAAACTTGTTCTTGGTTTCCAGCTGTTATGTCAGCATCGCATCACCACCGAAGATCTTCGACATGCGCACGTCCTTCTTTGCAACTGGGAGAGAGAATTTGAGACATCGTATTACCAGCATAACGAAAATTGACTACAGTTCATTCGTCCATGCGTTCATCAAGTCAACCACCTTGCTCCCAAAACTTCAAGAAAGGGACCTCCGATTTGGACTATGCGCAGTGGAACATGGAGCGCACAATTGGAAACATTGGCCAACAGATTCGACAACTGTCAAATCCCTATGCCAACCTCTCACAAGAGGGACTGCGGCGTTGCCAAGTTAACACGCTGCTTTCTGTCCTACCTGAGCTTGATGAGCCTCCCAAGGGCTTTCCACAAGGCTCAGTCAACCTTGGAGAAAAATACGCTCTCCTACGGAAACGTGACCTATACTTTCATCTTCCAGATCCAGAGCATACAAAAGTCATTGCTCGTTTCCTTGGAGGGTGTGCACTCCATCGCATCAAGAAATGGGCACGTCTTTTGCTGCCAAATGGGCAGATTGCACGATCCGCTTGGCGAGAAACCATCAAGACATTGGAGAAGATACGTATTTCACGAAATGTAAAGGTGCACTCATAATTCACTGTATGCTACTGACTAATTCTGATTGTATTTACTAGATCGATCTTGATGGGCAGATTCGCTTTGGCGAAATCTTATATTTTCCACGGCTGTCTGTCGAAGCAGATCCCGGTGACGAAGAAGACTGGCAGTTTGTAAATGTTGCATTGATTCAGTTGTATTCTACCCCCGACAACTTGCTTGTCAAACTCTTGTCGCAAACAGTTGCTTCCTGCACGCACCTTGATGAATTTTGTGTCTTTGATGTCGAGAAAATTCGCAGTGTTGTCGCCATGGCTCCGCACACCCTAACACTCCCTTCGGGAGTTACTGAACCCCGTTTTTTCATGATGGAGAGACCGGGTCCTGATATATCCAATCTCGGAGTACCTTACCCAGGCTATTTGGATGCTGAGGATGATCTTGATGATCTTGAATAGTAGTGGACAAGTTTGTTGTTACGATTGCAAGTATAATGATAACAGTATTATTACAAGTAAGGACCGCAAAGGTGCAAAAACATTGACTGAACTATGCGAAGCGAAAGCACACAAACGAAGTGAAAATGAACAAAGCAGTGGGCAAAAAATATCAGACTTTACGACGTTTTTCTGAATAGTTTCTAATCTCTTCAGACAATGCCTTCCTTTTAGCCGCTTGTGTTGCAACATTCGACCGATCGAAAGGTTGTACCAAGTAGCGCCATGATGCAAATGGGTCTGTAGAGCATGCGTTTGGATTATGACAACGTTGAGTGAGTAGCTTGCACAGAGATACAGTCCTTCCAAAATCTGTCAGTTAGGATCAGATAGTTAATTGATGGAAGATAGCTTACATAGAATTCGTGCCATCTTCTTCGGCTGGGGCACTTCCCCCCTCGAGCTCGAGCTTCACATCCTCATCCTCGAATTTCACAGTAGTCTGAGGTGAATCGGATTCAGTCTTGATTTTTTCTTCAGTCACAACTGTGCTGGACGGCTGATTATCACTAGCTTCAAAGTAAATGACATGTATGCTGTATCAAACAAATAGTGGACTCACACATTGTCCAAGCCTTGCCGAATGATCTTCTCAATATCTTTGAACCAGAAAATCACTTGCTGAATAGATAAACATTATGATCATCTTATTAAAAAGAATGACTTACCTTGGATCCAGGAGTGACGATATTGAGGCTGAGACGATATGTATTCCACATAGAGGTGAACACCATCAATCTCAACAAGGATATTATCCTCGAACATGTTGATTGTAGAGGAAGGCATCGAGTGGCGATCATAAACAACAGTATGTACGTCTGAGCAAAGGACTTGTACGAATTCTGGTGTAGTCGGAAATTTAAAGTTCCGCTGTGTTTTGAATTGATATTTGTTCATTGAACGCATACAGGCTTTCTACCTCTCCTCGTCATCTTTGCCATTGCCCAGCATGCTTTCATTTAGCGAGGGACCATCAGCTCACTCTAATAATGACAGAAATTTGCATGGTCACTCCCCTTAACAGAATCTGAGTCCACGATGGGCAGGAGACCCGTCCTACCCTTCCCCCCTGTCTCCGGGTATGCTGTTACCTGACCCGTTTGCTGATTCGGGCCCACCACAGCGCCAGTTTCATCAGGTACGTACTGTAGCATATAGGCTAATCATTCTACTGTTCATAAACATATTTTTAGGGTGCATATATGCAGGATAATCAAGACTTGCTTGAACGCTGCAAGGCATTAGAGCTGCGGGAAATTCAACTGACCACTGAGTGTGATACCATCAAGTAAGTTTTCTCTTGGTACTAGCCGATTTTAATTAAATTTCATAGGTCGATGTTGAATATCTTGCAAGTGCCGTTTAGCTGTCCAAACCCGATCCGTTCTAGATCTATGATTCAAAGGCTATTAGCCTGACATCTCCTGGATCCAGTCGCCCTACCCGCCAGCAATATCCCAAGATACGGTTCTTGTCCCAGGACAACTTTATGCGCTGGCTTGATACTGCCAGTAGTCAAACCACTGATCGCGGAAAGATTCCGTATCTCGAGAACGAAAACGGGGGTCCAGTCCCTGAAAACACAGTCAAAGCGATCCACAAGCTTCTCCGGGGTGGATAGTCTGAGCTTTTAAATCGCAAAATAGCGCCACAATCTTGGGGGAAGGCGACTGCTTCTGCGAGACAACTGATAGACACACTGATGGAAGACGCGGACCCCATTTTTTAAGTTTGCTGAACACGGTTGGAAATTAGACTATCTCGCAACAACCTCATATTCTTCTTGGCGCCGCACTAATCTTGACAGTAATGATCAAAAGTTCGAGACAGCATCAAGAAAGAGGACGATGATGACGACGACGATGACAACACCAACAGCAACGAGCGCACACTGGCAGGCAAGAAACGCAAGTGGTCAACAGCATCCGTTGAGCCCAAGTTTTCCAGCAAGAAAGTCAAGGGTGCGTGTAACTATTGTTACGTTCAACGCTCATTATATCTGTTACAATTGATCTGCAAATGGCTCCATCCTCTCTATCTCCACACTTAAGCGCCCCAACAACTCTACCTGCACCTGTTGTCGATGTCCCTGGTCCTGTTCCGTCTCTGATGATCACTCAAGCTAGCTCTGAGTTGGAGAACATGCCATTGAGTCCCAATCTTGACTCTGCTAATACCACTAAACCTATCGAGAACACTATCGAACCTCATGCCGACACTGAGAACGCCATCGAACTTCTTGACGACACCACCAACACTACCGAACATCTTGGAAACACCGAGAACACTACTGAACCTTTTCTCGAAACCAAGAACACTACTGAACCTCTGATGGACTCAGACGATACTGCTATCACTGTACTATCTAATGCTAGCTCCGAGCCTCGGTCCGTTCCTGCACCAAAGCCTCTCAGAACCACGCTTCCAAATCCTCTGTAAGTTGTTGATTTTTATCTGGTCCATTACTAACACAGTATTATAGTTCTGTATTAGCACTCGCTGCTGCAAAAGTCGATACAACACCATCTCCCCCAGCTGAATTAGATCCGAGCTCCCCCCCTCGAGTCCCATGGTCCCGGAGACCCTCCTCTAGAAGATCGCACTAGCTCGAATGCGAAGAAAGAGAACCTAGGTAAGGCCAGCGGCAAGGGAAAAATGCGTCCGAGACCAAGGCAGAATGGACGGTACATGAATTCATTTCAACTTAATCTTCTTTGTCTGACTACTTTATACAACCAGAAATTTATGCGCCCACCGCTGTCTCAAGCAAATCAAGACGAACGGAACTACGGACGAGTTCTGTGTCTACTACGGCAGCCTCAACGAAGAGAAGAGGAAGGTATGTGACTTCGCTCCCTTGATACAGATATCCACTCATTTTAATCTAGGAGCATGACAATGAAGCGAACACACTTGTGAGTAATATGGTTGCCGTCACCATCTACTCCGATTGATTGTTTCTAGGCTACCGAAAAAAAAATGGAACAAGACTGTCAATACAGGTAAGATGTACTAGTAGATCCCCACCCCTTCGCACTTTACACATTCGATGCCGTTCCCCATCCTACCTGCCGTCTGCCGGACACTTTGAACACTGTTTCTATCCCCACCTTGTATTCGATGCTGCGTTCAACACGTTCTCCCAGTTATATTTCGTAGTTTTGTTAGTTTCTGTGAGCCCCTTCAGTAACATTTCCCGACTTAGTCGGACAGCCAAAGGTTGAGAATCGACCCAGTGAGGCGGGCCATCCAATGTGAGCCCAAGCATAGCTGATCACGGATGGGCCCACAGCTTGGAATAGTACCCATGCTGGCGGGTCGGCCAAGTGTGAGATCAATAGGATAAGCGGGCCGATCGTATTGGGATACAGGTACTGAGAGTGACGGATGGGCCCTGTATATATGTCTCGGAAGGAAGAACGGATAGGCCCAGCTGGATATTCTATATCCATGTCATCTCGGAAGGGCTCTGCTAGTGATTTTGGGCCCAAGCGCTGACCAGTAGGTTTTGTGTTGACCCAGCATATGATATCGGAAGAGCCAGCCAATCGGTTTCGGCCCAAGAGAATATGTCGGAAGGAATGGCCGTTGGCCCAGCTGATACAGGAAGGGCCGACTGGTGATTTTTCGGCCCAGGAGAATGCGTACATGATCTCAGATGGGCCAACTGATGGGCTCGAGAAAACATGCAGTTGATGTCGGAAGGGCCGACTAGGTATGTTTTCGGCCCAGGAGAATTCTCGGAAGGACTGGCGGTTGGGCCAAGCGAGTAATTTTGGGCCCAGCATGTGATCTCGGAAGTGCGGATGGTTGGGATTTCATATCGGAAGAGCCGGCCAATCAGTTTCGGCCCAAGAGAATATGTCGGAAGGAATGGCCGTTGGCCCAGCTGATACAGGAAGGGCCGAATGGTGATTTTTCGGCCCAGGAGAATGCGTACATGATCTCGGATGGGCCAACGGATGGGCTCGAGAAAACACGCAGTTGATGTCGGAAGGGCTGACTAGGTATGTTTCCGGCCCAGGAGAATTCTCGGAAGGACTGGCGGTTGGGCCAAGCCAGTAATTTGTGGACCCAAGCGGCGACTGGTAGTCATGTGTCGTCCTGGCATACGAGCCAGCTGGTGGGCATGCGTCTGATATCGGATGGGCCAGCCGATTGTGTTTGGGGTCGGGAAATATTGTCGGGGGAAGGATTAGCAGTTCAGCCCAGCAGATCTCGGGAGGGCCGACCGCTCATTTTCGACGCATCCAGGAGAATTGCATATAATCTTGGAGAGGAGATGGTTCGGCTCAGGAGAACAAGCATTTGATATCGGAAGGGTTGGCTAG